GTAACAGAAGCAAGGGAAGAGGAAGGAGTAAGAGTAGAAGAAGGTCACAAGATCCATAGAGATCAAATAACGGAGGAAGACCTACATACAAATGTTACCATTGTGGCATGCAAGACCACATGAAGAAAAACTGCCGCAAGTTGCTACGAAAACAAGGCCAAGGCAGTAATCAGCCTAAGAAACAAGATGAAAAGATGCTAGTCACTCTCTTAGAGGACGTGGCCATTCTTTCTGTCAATGAGGAGACATGCTTTCATTTTTCAAACCATGACGCTGAGTGGGTGGTAGATACTACAGCTTCATACCACGCCACTTCTCACATCGATTTCTTCTCGTCGTACAAAGTTGGAGACTTTGGTATGGTGAGGATGAGAAACACCGGTTCTTCCAAGATCGTGGGAATTGGTGATATTCAGATAAAAAAAAATGTTCGTTGTACACTGGTATTGAAAAATGTCTGACACGCGCCCGATTTTTGGCTAAATCTACTTTCCAGGATAGCCCTTGACAAACAGGGCTACGATAACCACTTCAGCAATGGCGCATGGAAGCGTACAAAAGGTGTTATGGTTGTCATTTCATGACATATTTATGGCACGCTTTACAATACCCATGTAAAGGTTTGCTCAGACAGCCTCAATGCAGTTGAAAATGAGGCTTCACCTAATCTATGACACCAGAGACTCGATTACATGGGAGAAAAATGATTATTTACCTTGACAAAGAAGAATCTCATCACAGTTGTCAAGGATGTTGCACTAAATCTTTGTGATCATTGTTTGTTTGGTAAACAACATCGAGTCTCGTTCAGCTCCTTTTTGAAGAGAAGATTAGAGTTGTTAAGTTTGGTACACTCTGATGTTTACGGTACTCTAGAGGTGTAATCATTGGGTGACAACAGATATTTTTTTACCTTTATTGATGATATTTCACAGAAGGTATGGGTGTACTTCCTAAAAACAAAGGATCAAGTACTCGAATCCTTCAAAAGATTTCATGTCATGGTAGAGCGAGAAACAGGAACAAAGCTTTTTAAAGTGTCTCTAAACAGACAATGGAGGTGAATATACTTCTAGAGCGTTTGAAGCATACTGTGCAAATTATGGTATCAAACATGAGAAGACTATTCCCCATACCCCACAGTATAGTGGAGTAGCGGAGAAGATGAATCGAACCATTGTGGAAAGAGCCCGATGCATGCTCAGTATGGCAAAGCTGTCGAAACCATTCTAGGGTGAAGTTGTTCATCCGCCTGTTATCTGATAAACAAATCACCGTCAATACCATTGAATTTTGATATTCTGAAAAATGAGTGGTTTGGTAAGAATCCCTCTTATTCTCACTTAAGAATTTTTGGGTGCAAAGCATTTGCACATGTATCCAACGAGCAAAGGTAGAAACTTGATGTCAAGACCACTTTGTGCATCTTTATAGGCTACAGAGATGAAGAATTTGGATACACATTGTGTGACCCAAAGGCCAAAAGGATCTTCAGAAGCAGAGACATGGTGTTCCATGAAAATTAGGCATATGAGGACTTTGAAAATTCCACAAAGTCCAGCAGTTCTAGTTCCAGTGCACAGAACATTGTTCTAGACCCTGCACCGTTACAGTTCGTCACAAATAATGACGAAGTACAGTATGAAGCTACAAAAGCAGAACAAGATGTTGAAGAAGGTGTTGAGCAGGGGGAGCAACAACCCCCTCCACCAGATGTTACAGGACCATCACAGCAACCAGAGGATGGTGTACCTCATATAGCTAACGAGCCTCAATCACAAAGATCCGAAAGATGACGCATTCCATCAAGTAGATATCTAGAGTCAGACTATATTCTGCTTACTAATGAGGGGGAGCTGGAGAGCTTCGAGGAAGCACAAGCTCATACGGATAAAGACAAGTGGATGCAAGCCATGCAGGATGAGTTGAATTCCCTGCAAAAAAATCAAACCTATGAGCTTTGTGAAACTTCCAAAAAGGCAAGAAAACACTGAGGAATAATGGGTGTTCAAGCTGAAGAAAGACGGCAATGAAAAATTGGTGAAGTATAAGGCTCGATTGGTCGTTTAAGGATTCCAACATAAGAAAGGAATTGACTTTGATGAGATTTTCTCACCAGTTGTTAAGATAACCTCAATTCGAGTCAGTCTCGAATTAGTAGCCAGTTTAAACTTGGAGCTTGAACAAATGGACGTGAAAACTGCATTTCTTCATGGAGATCTGAATGAAGAAATCGATATGGAACAACCGAAAGGTTTCGAGGTTCCAAGAAAGGAAAATCTAGTTTGCAAGTTGAAGAAGAGTCTGTACGGCCACAAGCAAGCGCCCAGACAATGGTATAAGAAATTTGACTCATTCATGGTGGGTCAAGGCTACAAGAGGAATGTTGCAGACCAGTGTGTTTACGTTTAGAGATTCTCGGATGGCAATTTCGTTGCACTCCGACTTTATGTTGACGACATGTTGATCATCGGAAAGGATGCAATAAAGATTAGCCAATTGAATAAGGAACTANCCTATAAATAGGAAGTTTAGTGAAGGCCACAAGCATGCTCAAGATTAGTGAGAAAAAAACAGAGAGAGAAAACATTGAACAAAATTGAAAATAACATACTTAACAAAAAACTGTAACATGCTCAAAAAAAAAATAGCAATATGCAACATTGAACAAAATTAAAAATAAAATAGTAGCATTCAAACCTATAACCAGAGAAAAAAGCCTTCAATTCTTCAGCATCCGAAAAAGTAATACTGAAAAAGTAATAACATATTTAATAAAAAATAGTAACATGAAAGAAAAATAATAACATGGTCAATTAGAAAAAATAGTAACATGGTCAACAAAAAACGTAGTAACATAAAATATTGAAAAAATTTTGGGATTATTTATTAAAAAAAATAAAAATAAAATTAGGGATCAAACTAATAACATATTGAGCAATTTTTTAAACTTCTTTTTTTCCCGAAAACTAACGACATAGAGGTTAATGATGACCAGAACGTAATAGAAGATATAGTAGTTGATAATGATGTTCTAAACTCTACTGATTTTGATGCTATGGAGGAAGAAATGATATTTAAGGAGAAAGGTTTGTTGTACTTGATTAATGATCTTCTTCTAATGCGCGCGCGAGGGAGAGAGAGAGAGAGAGCGAAAATATAAATTTCAATTTCAATTTATGAGTGAATTAAGAGATAATAATTTCTAATTTAAGAAATTAATTTAAATCTACTTTCAAGGTCTTTAAGATTTTTATAATTGAACAGAATAATATTGTTAAGGATATTTTTGGGATTTAAAAAAATAGTGGACTTATGTACTCATTAGTAAGATAAAAAATAAATTTATCACCAAATAAGTTTCCTTGATGGATTCAAGTCATTATAAGTCCATTTAAGAGAACTCAGCCCCAATTTTCACTATAAAAGGTCATTGAAGAGATGTAAAATTGATTCTCAAAACAAATATAGAAAAAATGTCAGTCCTTCCATTATTTAAGCCAAAGATAATTTTTTACAGTTAACTGTCTCTTTTTTCATTGTTGGAATTATATTCTAATTTATTAGGATTTTTTTTTCCCTTTTTTACTTTACTATTACTTTTTATTTTTTTTCCTATAACAGAGGAATGTTCATATCACTTTATACTATTGTTTGAATATATATACGGGACTCTACTCTTAATTTGAGTATCCCTTTCCACTCGTAAATATTCTATGTTTCATTAATGACCTTTTCATTTATATAATTTTCAATCTTACATAAATATATTATTATATTTATTTATTAAGAATAAATTACACTACGGCCTCGGTGTGTGTACATATCACCTTTCTTGTTTGACTCTCTTAATTCTTTTTTTTTTCTCTCATTCTATACTTTACGATGCTAATGTCCGGTGGATAAAAAAGTATCGAGGTTTCTAGTTTGTTGAACATTTTCTAAGTTTTATACTTATATTATTTTGATTTTGATTNAGTGTGTTTACGTTTAGAGATTCTCGGATGGCAATTTCGTTGCACTCCGACTTTATGTTGACGACATGTTGATCATCGGAAAGGATGCAATAAAGATTAGCCAATTGAATAAGGAACTATCCAAGTCCTTTGATATAAAGGACTTAGGCCCAACTCAGTAGATACTAGGCATACAGATTGTTCGTGATGGGAAAACCAGGAAATTGTAGCTATCACAGGAGAAATACATTGAACGGGTGATCCAGAGGTTTAACATGGATACTGCCAAGCCAGTTAGCATCCCACTAGTTAATCATTTCAAGTTAAGCAAGAATTCATGTCCCTCATCAAAAAAGGAGATAGAAGATATGGCAATGATTCCTTACTCTTCAACAGTTGGGAGTCTAATGTATGCAATGGTGTGTCCAAGGTCAGATATTGCCCATGTAGTGGGCATGGTGAGCAGATTTCTTTCCAATCCAGGGAAAGAACATTGGGAGGCGATCAAGTAGATTCTCAGATACCTTAAGGGTACATCGAAGATATGCTTGTGTTACAGGGGAATTGAACCAGTTTTGGAAGGCTATACAGATTCAGATATGGCAGGAGATCTTAATGGTAGAAAATCTACATCAGGATTTTTTTACACTTTTGCAAGAGGAGCTGTGTCATGGCAGTCAATGTTGCAGAAGTGCATAGTTTTATCAACGATAGAGACATAGTATATTGCTGCAGCGGAAGCTGGTAAGGAAATGTTGTGGTTAAAGCGGTTTCTCCAAGAACTAGGAATTAAGCAGAAGGAATACAAGGTCCATTGTGATAGTCAAAGTGCTCTGGACTTGAGCAAGAACTCAATGTACCATTCCTGGACGAAGCATATTGATATTCACTATCATTGGATACGCGAAGTGATAGAGCAACAGTTATTGAAACTAGTGAAGATTCACACAAAGGAGAATCCAGCAGACATGTTGACAAAGGTCATTACTCGGGAGAAGCTTGAGCTGTGCAGAGACATAGCCGAGATGAATGTTTGATTACATTCTATTCTGATGGTTCTGGAGGAGGAGATTTGAAGGTTCCAGATCCATCAGAGGCTACCCAGTAGCTCACTCTAGTAGCCACTTCTATGGATAGCTTGCCGGCGGATTGCTTGATGGCGTACGACTGAAGCTTTGACAAAGCTTGCCAAAGCCTTAAATGTGTTCCCTTCTTTCTTGACTTATTTGGCCAGAAAACTCCCTATAAATAGGAAGTTTAGTGAAGGCCACAAGCATGCTCAAGATTAGTGAGAAAAAAACAGAGAGAGAAAACATTGAACAAAATTGAAAATAACATACTTAACAAAAAACTGTAACATGCTCAAAAAAAAAATAGCAATATGCAACATTGAACAAAATTAAAAATAAAATAGTAGCATTCAAACCTATAACCAGAGAAAAAAGCCTTCAATTCTTCAGCATCCGAAAAAGTAATACTGAAAAAGTAATAACATATTTAATAAAAAATAGTAACATGAAAGAAAAATAATAACATGGTCAATTAGAAAAAATAGTAACATGGTCAACAAAAAACGTAGTAACATAAAATATTGAAAAAATTTTGGGATTATTTATTAAAAAAAATAAAAATAAAATTAGGGATCAAACTAATAACATATTGAGCAATTTTTTAAACTTCTTTTTTTCCCGAAAACTAACGACATAGAGGTTAATGATGACCAGAACGTAATAGAAGATATAGTAGTTGATAATGATGTTCTAAACTCTACTGATTTTGATGCTATGGAGGAAGAAATGATATTTAAGGAGAAAGGTTTGTTGTACTTGATTAATGATCTTCTTCTAATGCGCGCGCGAGGGAGAGAGAGAGAGAGAGCGAAAATATAAATTTCAATTTCAATTTATGAGTGAATTAAGAGATAATAATTTCTAATTTAAGAAATTAATTTAAATCTACTTTCAAGGTCTTTAAGATTTTTATAATTGAACAGAATAATATTGTTAAGGATATTTTTGGGATTTAAAAAAATAGTGGACTTATGTACTCATTAGTAAGATAAAAAATAAATTTATCACCAAATAAGTTTCCTTGATGGATTCAAGTCATTATAAGTCCATTTAAGAGAACTCAGCCCCAATTTTCACTATAAAAGGTCATTGAAGAGATGTAAAATTGATTCTCAAAACAAATATAGAAAAAATGTCAGTCCTTCCATTATTTAAGCCAAAGATAATTTTTTACAGTTAACTGTCTCTTTTTTCATTGTTGGAATTATATTCTAATTTATTAGGATTTTTTTTTCCCTTTTTTACTTTACTATTACTTTTTATTTTTTTTCCTATAACAGAGGAATGTTCATATCACTTTATACTATTGTTTGAATATATATACGGGACTCTACTCTTAATTTGAGTATCCCTTTCCACTCGTAAATATTCTATGTTTCATTAATGACCTTTTCATTTATATAATTTTCAATCTTACATAAATATATTATTATATTTATTTATTAAGAATAAATTACACTACGGCCTCGGTGTGTGTACATATCACCTTTCTTGTTTGACTCTCTTAATTCTTTTTTTTTTCTCTCATTCTATACTTTACGATGCTAATGTCCGGTGGATAAAAAAGTATCGAGGTTTCTAGTTTGTTGAACATTTTCTAAGTTTTATACTTATATTATTTTGATTTTGATTTAATCTAAGTGAAGTTATCTTTTGTTATAAAGGTTAGACTATGTGATTTGATTGACAAAGAAAGCTCATTTACATCAAAAGTTATACTTTTTTTTATCATTTTTTTTAATCAAATATTATGGTTTAATTTTTCTTCAACTTTATAACTTAAGAATTCTTATACAATATTGTTGAAGTTTGACCCAAACTTTCAAAGTATTTTATTCCTTATTTATTTAGTATTAGTTTTAAATTAGAATTTTAATGGGTTTAAGAATTTTGACCCAAAAAATATTCTAATTAGTTTTAAGTAATTTAATTAAAGTCAATTTAGGATTAGTTTATTAGTTATTAGTTTAGTCATTAACTTTTGGGTCTTTATATATTTTGGTAGTGGCAGTACTTCGTAATTGAAGTTTTTTTCGTTGCTTTATTTATGCCGCAAGCCTTCGACACTTTTTTCTTATTTGTTGTCTTCGGATTTTTCTATGATTAAATTTTTGTGTGTGAGATCGATATTTGAGTGTTCAATATTATTTTTTGATCCTACATCTGATATCAGAGCCAATTTTAGAGATGACAAACAAGAACGAGTTTGTTCAATGTCCGTTGAAAAATTTGACGAGAGGTCAAATTTTTAACATTGGAAAACACAGATGAAGTTATTTTTCAAGGTCATGGATTTTTCAGATATTGTAACAGACAGGTTCACAAATCCCGGAGATCTACCAACTCACACAAAAGCCCAAAAAGATGAATTGATAATTAATCAAAAAAAAGACAGCAGAGTGTTGATGTATATCTATGGAACAATTGATTCATCAATTTATGATAAAGATTGCTCATGTTACGACAACAAAGGCGGCATGAGATGTCTTGATCAATTGTTATATTGGACAAGATAAGGTAAAAAAGGTTTGGTTGAAGATCCTTCTCAAACAATTTGAGCTTCTTCAGATGAAAAAATCAAAGAGTATATCTGATTATTTTTCGTGGACATTGGTTATTATCAATCAAATGAGAGCCAACAGTGAGGATGTGAAGGATCTCCAGGTTATGGAGAAAATTATTCAGACCTTATCAATGAGGTTCGAATATATTGTCACAGCTATCATGGAGTCAAATGACCTTGATTCCCTGACAATTGATGAGTTAATGGGTTTCCTGCAAGCCCATGAACAAAGATTGAATGAAAAGACTGAAATTTTAGGAGAAAAAGCTTTGCAGACTTAAATCAGCTTCAAGAAGGAGAAGGATGAGTCCCATAAATTCCAATCAAATCAGAGGTATCAACTTTCAAATAGTCAAGGTACGTGACAAAAATACAAAGATAATAATTGGGGTGAACAACGTGATAAATCCAAAATCAAGGGTCATAATTGTGGAAAATTAGGGCACTATAAAAGGGAGTGTTTCAGATTAAAGAGACCCGATAATAAGAATTATTATGCTAAAATTATAGAAGGCAATAATGATAATTCAGAAGTTTTATTTTTAGCTGATAGTGCAGTAGATGATGTTCGAAAGAACAAGTGGTATTTGGATTCAGGTTACAATAATCAAATGTGTGGTTACAGAGAGTTGTTCACTGTATTGGATGAATCTGTTCAATCAGATATTAAATTTGGAAATGCTTAAACCATCCCCATAAAGGAAAAAGCCAAAATTTCTATCAAATTAAAATATGGGTTTTTGAATGTCATTTCAGATGTTTATTATGTTCCTGGTCTTAGCCACAATTTATTGAGTATGAGACAGTTGTCAGAAAAGGGGTATGATATGAGGATTTTTAATAGTGTTTGTACAATCAATGACAGCCGCAAAGGACTAATAGCAAAGGTAAATATGACACTCAATCGTTTATTTCCTTTACAAATTAATTGTCATAATTTACCTTGCTTTAATTCTAAAATTTCTGAGGATAATTGGTTGTGGCATATGCAGTTTGGGCATGTAAATTTTCATAGTTTAAATTTTCTTGCCCGAAAAAATTTGGTTTTAAGTTTGCTTGCTATTAATATTCCTAGTCAAGTTTTTGAGACTTGTGTTTTGAGGAAAAAACATAGGGACCTTTTTCCCGATAAACAAGCTTGGCATGCAAAAAGACCCCTTAATTTGATTCACTATGATTTGTGTTCTGTTGAAGTTCCTTTCAATGGTGGGAGTAGGTATTTTATTACCTTTATTGATGATTTTAGCAAAAAGACCTGGGTGTATATTTTAAAAAATAAATTTGATGCCTGTGACACATTTAAATATTTTAAGGCTTATGTTGAAAAGCAAAGTGCGAGAAAAATTAAGGTTTTAAGGACTAACAGATGTCAGAAATATATTATTTGTGATGATTTTTTTTTAGAAATCATGGTATTAAGCATCAGTTGACAGCCAGGTATACTCCCCGACAAAATGGTATGATATAGAGGAAAAATAGAACTATTATGGATATGGTTAGATGCATGTTGAAATCTAAAATCATGCCTAAAAATTTTTGGGCAGTGCTTGTGTTGTTTATGTTTTGAATTGGTCCCCTACTAGAAGCTTAAAGGGAAAAACTCCCTATGAGATTTGGAGTAGTCAGAAGTTAGGTATTCAGGATTTGAGGGTGTTTGATTGTATTGCTTATACCCATGTTCCTGATCCACTCAGGAAAAAGCTTGATGACAAGGCTGAAAAGTGTATTTTTATTGAGTACAGTTCAATTACAAAAGGGTACAAGCTTTACAATCCCATCACAGGAAAAGTGATTATTAGTAGGGATGTCACTTTTGATGAGCAAGGTATTTGGAATTGATCCCATAAGGAAGACAAGTCAGTCACATTTGTTCCTTTTGATGTTGATGATTCAGTTGGTGATTAGCTAGTTGAACAGTCCCCAGCTGTTCAATCCCCACAGCTAGAGTCATCTAGGCGTTTATAGCATGAACAACACATGGTAGCTAGATTGGAAGATTATTATTGGCACTGACCGTGATCCTTCAGATAAGGATTTGATAAATTTTGCTTTATATGCAAATTGTGATCCTATTTCTTTTAGTGATGCCCGTAGGGAGAAACATTGGGTGAAAACAATGAATGAAGAAATTCATGTCATTGAGAAAAATAATACATGGGAGCTTATTTCTCTTTTCAAGGGAAAGAAAGCTATTGGTGTTAAATAGATATACGAGACCAAATACAAGTCAAACGGAGAGGTGGATCGCTTCAAAGCAGGGTTAGTAGCCAAGGGTTACAAACAAAAATCAGGTATTGATTATCTTGAGGTTTTTGCTCCTGTTGCTAGGCTTGATACTGTCCGTATGCTTATTTCTCTTGCTGCTAATAATTTTTGAAAGATTTTTCAAATGGACGTGAAATCTTCTTTCTTGAATGGTGTCCTTGAGGAGGAAGTTTATGTCGAGCAGCCTACTAGTTATGTCAATAAAGGGGAGGAAAACAAAATCTATAAGTTGAAAAAGGCTTTGTATGAGCTTAAACAAGTCCCTAGAGCTTGGTATACTCGGATTGATTCTTATTTTATGGAGAATGATTTTCAGAGATGTCCCTATGAACACACTTTGTATG